AGAAGGGTTTATATAAGGGTTGTGAGAGCATATGAGAAATGATATATGGAGCAATCTGCGATCAGAATAATCCCATAGGTTTCTATCGCAGCCACAGATCTTTCAACCCCTTTGGCCTTTCTCAGCCGTTTGATTTAAATAATCCGATCACTTTGCCTCCACGAAAATTCTACTTTTTTTTTTCTTTTTTGATGCTCACAAAAATTATACTTTTCGATTATTTTATACATTAAATTAAACAGCCACTGGTTTTAGACTAAAATCATAATAATTAAGCCATAAGCATGGTAAAATTAAACCTAAATCTTAGCTAGGCTTAAAATTTAATAAACGAATGATTATTTTGACGATTCTGTTATCCCATGGCCGAGGTAATTACTTTATAAAATATAATATAATATTTATGGTGTATTGAGTGATTTTAGTATGGCCAAAATTACTCGGCAAATTAAAATTTTGATTTTCGAAAAATTTAAAATAACTTTAAGTCTATTTTTAAGATATATCACTTGGATGATAATTTTTTATAATTAGACTTGAATATTTTTTTTCTTTTCAAAATCATTCATTCTCATACATCCCTTCAAATTGTGCGTATATGCCAATTACCGTTGAACTATGCTCGTTTAATTTTCAYCAAAATATTAATTATTTGAGTTGAGGTCGCATATACCTTTCTCACTCACAGTGCACCATTACTTTATTTGCCTAAAGCAATTTTAGCCTCTGATAAATATTGCACTAATGTTACTTGAATCTCCTAAATTTAATAGTTTTATTGTTCTGCAAGCCATGAATATTTGCTATGCTTTTATTAACTTATTTACATCCGTCAGTTTAAATGTACGTTTGTCCAATTGAGCTATCGCTAAATTAATGGATTAAAAAAAAATTTAGACATTTTAAGGTGTATTGATCTATACCGATATAAATATAGTTTAACTCGTCAATACATTACTTACCTCTGTAAAGGTCGGAGGTTCAAATTTTCCTCACTTTCATGTTGTGTTATTGGAAAAAGAAAATAATGTTCTTGTCTATATTGATATATTGATCTGTGGTTCAATATTTAATAAAAAATCTTTCATGAAATCGTAAATAAGAAGTAGGGGTAAGGACTCGAACTAATCAAATTCATCATTAAGATTACACTCATACTTTGGGAATAAGATTAAAAGTTAGGCAAGGCAAAATGGAGAGACTTGAGCTTGACTTAATATGCAAATAGGATTTTGACAACCATCTACCAAAATAATTAAAATGGATTCTTATGTGAATTTCCAAAGACAAGTGGCCTACTTGTGGTCCTTGTTTGATTATATAAAGACAAGGCAATTCATTTTCAAACTGAATTTTCTCTCAAGGAATTGGAAAATCTACTTTAATCCAAGAAGGAGGACTACTTGTGACAATGGCCTGTTTTTTAATTAAAAAAAAAAACTAGACTTTGAAAAGTAGGTAAATTAATTGCAGAGTGATGTGCATAATAATATATTCAGTGAATATGATATATTATTCCGTAAAAAAAAAGTGATATATTATTTTGTGATTTACCATATATATCCATCTCTCTTTTATGGTGGTAAGAATCAAAACATAAGCGAGCATAACTTAACAGTATTTAACATATATCTCCAATTAGGAGGTTGTGAGTTCAATCCTCCACCCCAMATATTGTATTGAAAAAAAAATATAAAAACATGTACTGCGATGCCCGTGAAATTTATAATTTTAATTATTTTAAAGTATAAAGAAAATATTAGAAAATAATAAATTAGTAAAAAWTATAATTTAATTAGTTTTTTAAAAGTAGAGAGACATTAATGTTAATATTTTATTTTTTATTTATTTTATCTTTTTAGAAATTAATTTTACATTACAGGAAGAAATTTTTTCATACAAAATTTAATTCAACGTTATATGAATGGCAAACTATACATTATATTTCTTTTATGATTCATGTTATGCCTAATTTCATATTTTTATTTATTACATTTTAAATATATATGAGAACTTTACCTTTTAAAAAGAATTACACTACATCCAAATTTTCAGTCAATTATAAATAAATAAATTATAAAATATATCATTGAAATAAAGTAATATAATACCATTCAAAAAAGATATAAAAAAGTAATTTTCACTTAAAGTTTTACCTCCTACGTCATATACCTACCTTATTTGATTATCTATAGACTATGGTTGGATTGAAAATTATATTCTTCATTTTAATAGAAAAAATAAAAATGAACAAATAAATAATAAAAAGAAAAACAATAGGAATGAGTTGTTACAAAGACCATTCATATCGTGGTCGTCTCAAGCAAGACACCGAATCAATTGAGATTCCAATTCCACGTAATCTTCACTAATATTTTATAGAATTTATCATATCAAGGATATTTTGTCCATTGATCATTTTGCGAAAGTAAACAATGGCACAATGTGAATGGAGAAATTGCAGCGCGTATATTCTTCACGAGATTATCGCATGATGGACCATCATCGAAATCAAGAGAACACTTTGAGAAGATCGTAGTAGAACATAGATTAGCAATTGAGACGACTCTTATTGAATTGACAGATGATGTACTTTCCATTGTATAAACTCTACAATCACTGGTTCATCTTAGACTTAGGAGCCTCAAGAATTATATAGAAAGAATAATGAGAGGTAGAGAAAAACTTTCAAGTTCAATAATTAATATTTAGATGATGACTTTTGGAGGGAGAGAAAGGAGGAAAAAAAAACTTTCAAATTTCATAAGTAAAGACTCAATTAAATAGATGATAAAACTTTTCATCTAAATGAAAAATTAAGTGAAATTGAATTTTAAAAGACAAAAAAGAAAAGAAGAGATAAATGTTACTTGGGTGGATTAATTTGAGTGGAAATTTGGATGGGTCGRAAAAAAATTAATTAATAGTGAATGAGAAAGAAATATTAATAAGATTATTAAGAGAGAGAGGTTTTGACCGATAGAATGAGTTGAGAAAAATAGAATTTGTAAAAGAGAAGAGAGAAATTGGGGGAAGTCGCCGTGAGAATGAGAGGGAGAGAGTAGAAGAGATAAATTTATATTTGGAGGATAAAATTATTATCCCTAGAATAATAAATAGGGAGAGAGTTTCTTCCCTATAACCACTTTTATATAYAGAGATAGATACATACCTATTGATCGACAACTTCACCTCAAATTTACAAAAGAAAATATAAAGATAGGGATATAAAGCTTATAACCCTATAGTTTATACTAGTCCACTCATAACTCATGAGTTATGAGTGGACTAGTATAAACTATAGGGTTATAACGCCAGTCCCTTATGCAACAACATATTCTACTATAATACGAAGGTTATATCGACGTCTTCTCTCTCTCACAAGRTTTTATGTCTCAAGTAGCCCACGAGTGACTACCTGACTTTTTAAGTACAACATGACAAATATGACTACTTAACTAGAGCTTTACACAAAAATATCTTCGCTAAACTCATGAGAACACGATGCCAATAAAGCTCTACACTCCTACTTTGGGCAGCAGTATTTCAACCGAGAGATTAAAAATAGAAGCAAAAAGAAAGCGTGGGGGCAGTATTTCAGCARAAAAGAGAAGAAGAAACGGGATCTTGGCTTGTGGTTGTTATCGACAATAATTCTTGTGGTTGTTATCGGCAATAATCCATTCTTGTGAGTATCTTGAGGTTTATTGTATCCATAAGTAACTATTGTTGAAGTGCTTTAGAAGCCAAGGTGGCTATTGTTGGAGCATGGGAACCACCGCCACGTCAAAGTGACACTCTACCACTAAGTTCTCAACATAGTCGAACCTACATAATATTGCAGAAGAGATTGTACATGACCCCAAGCTTGGGGTGYACCAGTATAATCTCTGGTATTTGTTTCTTTTTCATACTTCGTATCTCCTTTATTATATTGTTTGTTTAAACTGTGACTTGCTCCGTTTTGTGGGAGGAGAAAACTGGTTAGATCCTATTGGATAGCTCTTATTGAAAGACTAAGTGTTTTATATAATTTTTTCAACGCTAACATGAACTGCATRTGTGTGGAGTGTAATACCTTTTGAATAAAAATCCAAACACAAACACACAATAAACGATAAGTAGGGATTATTCGAATCTCCAACCCTCTTAACTTGTCGAGAATATATGCTTTAACTAATGAACATACTTAGGGCTTGCAATAACATTTTCGGGAGCAATAATTAACTATTTCACTCAAATTAAGGAAATTATGGACTGGCTAACATGACTTAATGGATTCGTTTCGAGAAATTAAAAAGTATCAAAATACACCATCTAGGAATTGCATAAAAATCGAAGCTCACAAAGCATTAAGGAAAAACTAAAAAGTAATTAATTAACAAGGGCCAAAGATGGCCACTTTATTCTTAAATGCTCCAAAAAAAGTACTTTTCCAAGTAAGTGTCTACTTTTACAGATAGACAATTGGTCCTCCATCAGGATCGCTTCATTATTGAATTTCAAACGCAGTGCTTTGTGCAGAAGCACCGGCGGCGGAAGCCCCTGCAGTGGCCGCCATGGAAGCCCTCTGTCTTGCAGACACTGGCGCAGTTGGTTCCACTAAAGCATAGCCCTTTGAAGTTGTGGCTCTGAGATTCACAGACCCTCGCCTCCGCAACCATCGGCGCCATCCCTGCTCCCCAAGCCATGCACCAAACCAAGCTATTTTGTTAAATAATTCCCCTCTTTCAATTTCATCTAATTTCTTTTTTCTCATTTTGAAAATATAACACGTATTATATAGTTCCTAAAACTCCTTGAGAAATAAATTTAAGTTGTTTGTTGTTTTTCTGTGCTTTCTTGCTCTAAAAACCGTTTCGATTGTCAAGGGGTTGAATATTGGGTTATATTATAAATTTGGATTTAATTTCAATTTAGTTTGATTTGAAAATCCTAATTTGGTAAAATTAATAAATATAACCTCGTTACTGTGTAATGAAACAACATGGATGAATGRTATTCAATATGATTATAACATGGATGATTCGTGAAATTTGACTAAATTATGGAGACGGATTGAAATTAAATTAAATCATAAAAATTAAATTGAAAATTTTAAGTCGAAATCCATGAGGACTAAATTTGCAATTTAGCTACAATATTAAAACAAATAACAAATAAATTTACAGTAGATTGAAAAAATTGAGTTGTGCATGCAAATTATTTTCTTTTTAGATTTCAATTTACAAACGATAGGATATAGGCATCACTAAATAAAACTTCAGCAAAGCGGATTATTAGATATAATCATCTAGCTAAGGGGAATCAAGCACAGTTACATAATTAACTCAATCTCAAAAAAAAAAAGTTAGATTATCACTATGAAATAGCTTGTATTTATTTTGTCGAGAAAATAACAAATAAAATGACTATATAATTTSAAAGAATGGAGATCTGCGTGCAAATTATTTCTTATTCTAATATACTTTTGATTTTGAGACAATCACATGTAATAAATATATATTTTCAAATGTAATACAAAATATTGGAAGAAAAAATCATGTCAATCGTCCAAACACGGTTCAAACKAGTTAAAAATCATACATTCCCAACTAAAAAGTAGTTCGAGTATGCATTCCTACGTGTGGTACTAAAAAAAATATAAAGAAAAATTATATCACAGTTATGCTATATATTTGAAAAAACAAGAAGAATGCATTTTTTAAACCCAACAAAGAAATTACCAGTGCCAAAAATCAGTAGAAGCAGAAAAATTGCAGCGGAAAACTTCATTTTGAGAGAGAGGATTTTTTTCTTTTTTCTTTTTTCTTTTTTCTTTTTTTGTGGGAAGGAGTGAATATAAGGAGGGTTTATATATGGGTTTTGAGAGCATATGAGAAATGATAGAGCAATCTGCGGATCAGAATGAACCCATAGGTTTCTATCGCAGCCACAGATCTCTCAACCCCTTTGGCCTTTCTCAGCCGTCCGATTTCAATAATCCAGTCACTTTTCCCCCTCGAAAATTCTACTCTTTTTTTCCCCCTTTTTTTATGCTCACAGAAATTATACTTTTCAATTATTATACACATTAAATTAAACAGCCACTGGTTTTAGACTAAAATCATAATAATTAAGCCATAAGCATGGTCAARTTAAACCTAAATCCTAGCTTAGTCTTAAGATTTCACAAACGAATGATTATTTTGATGATTCCGTTACCCTATGACGGAGGTAATTGCTTTGTAAAATATAATATAATATTTAGGATGGTGTCCTTTTCATTAGATTATGTTTGACAAATTAAAAAATTGATTTTGAGAAAAATTTAAAATCATTTTAAATTGATTTTTTTTTAGGCATATCACTTTGATTTTTTTAAAAATCAATTATACTAATTGAATTTTTTTTATAAAAAAACTACTCATTTTACCTATGCTCTCATACACACCTTTAGGCTATTATTCAAATACCGAGCCCTCCCTAGAAAAAATTTCATAACTTTTAAATTAAAGTCTCTATCTTTTCAAAATTTCCTTCTAAAATAAATTTCTTATCTTATGAAGAACTTTTGTTTCATGAAGAAATAGTGCATAGAGAATAGAAAATTGTGCTTTTTGTTTAAATTAATTCTCACCAATATTAATTACTTGAGTTGAGGTCACATACATTTTTCACAGTATACACTATTTACTTTATTTGCCTAAAGTAATTTTCGCTTTTGATAAATATTGCACTAATGTTACTTGAACCTCTAAAGTTAATAGTTTTACTGTTCTACAAGCTAGCTAGGAATATTTGCTATGCTTTTATTAACTTGTTTAATTACATGCCTCAGTTTAAATAGCAATTGAGCTTGCTCAATTGATTAATTAAGGGGTTAAAAGTAACAAATTTTTTAATGTTTACCCCCACTAATTATTTTATGCTAAAAAAAAAAGCTTAACTACAAGTTCTAAATCTTATATTCCAATAAATCATTATACATTTCATTAAATGTATAATATAGTTCAACTTGYCAATACATCACTTACTTGTTTAAARCTCAGARGTCCAAATCTTCATCATTCATTATTGTACTACTGGARAAAAGAAAATAGTGTTATTGTCTATATTGATCTTGTATTTAATAAAAACAATCTTTCATGAAATCATAAACCAGAAAATTAGTAGGGTAAATTCGAACTTTCATAAGTGAGATTATTAATACTTTATTTAATTCTAAATCCATGATGGTAAGACCAAAAGTTAGGCAACAAGGCCAAATGGAGAGACTTGAGCTTGACTTAAGATGCAAATTAAACGGGATTTTGACAACCATCTACCTAAATAATTAAAATGTCAATTATTAAGTGAATTTCAAAGACAAGTGGCCTACTTGGTCATGTTTGATTATATAAAGAAAAGGCAATTCATTTTCAGATTGAATTTTCTCTCAAGGAATTGCAAACTCTAGCTTTAATCCAAAATGGAGGACTGCTTGTGAAGATGGCCTGTCTTTTAAAAACAAAACTAGACTTTGAAAAGTAGGTACATTAATTGCAAAGTGAYGTGCATAATAATATATTMTGTGAATATGATATATTATTTATACACGCATGCATTGGTTCACCCYAAACWCGTGACTACATTTRGGTAGTCTCTTTTACAATAAYAGATTCTACTATGAATATATATGAAAATTACAATGGGTCACACGAAATCATGAGAACATGGTGGCAACAAAGCTTACACTCTTTATCTCTTTGATCTCCACACACACTTCTTATGTTTCTATGGTTGAAAATAGCCAGTAGAAAGTGATGCTTTTATAAATTATCGTCATAGCACTAGCACTGCGATACTGTATCTCTAACGTTGTGAAGTCAGTGTTGCAGCCGTCGTRCTCACACGACCCAATAGCCTGCTTAGTTTCAACTACCTTTTTTATTTTCCTAACAAAATCRTGTAGGTTCAAAGTTTTACTCTTGATTTAATGTTTGGTTACTTTAGTTTTTGGTTATATTGGAGTTCACTTCGCATTTGAGTAGGTAAAAATTTACATTTCATTTTAGATGAYGAAAACGCAACAACCTAAAGCTTTTGACATCCTTTATTCTTTTGGCAAGAAGATGAGAAAAATTCATGAAGAAAGTGAAAATTACATGAATTTGGTTGACAAAACTAAAATCAATTACTCCAAAGCCACCCCTCCAAATTGGGAAATATTATGCTAGATTTGTCTATTGCAACTTGGGCTAGAAGGATCTTTTGAAAAAAATACTTTAATCAAAGGTATAATTATATATGTTTTCAAACATTTTCAACCATTGTCACTGTGGCATGTGATAGAATGAAAGCCAAATCTGATTTTTCTTTTTTCTTTTTTAATTTCTGGTCTTTAAAATATAGGTTTGTTTTCTCCTCCTTTCTTAGATATGTTTTTCACGTTTTCTAAAAACATATTCGAATTCTTAGTTAAACGAAAAAATAAATTTTTTCAAACTACTACTCCTTTAACTTTCAAAATTCGRCTTAAATTTTGAAAATATTTTTAAAATGTATCAGAAAAAAAACAAAATGAAGACATAAATTAGATAGAGCTATGCTTTCAAAGCAAACACAACCTTTTTTTCTCCTTTTGTCTATTAATTAATACATAAATTTTGAGTAATCTTTTATGGAACTACACATCTCAAGATAATATTGCATGTGAAGTGGAGGGGTAGATTTTTTTATAGTATGAGTTGGCATATGACATGTCAAATCTATTAAATTAAATATGAAGTATCTTTTTATAATCTAGTTAATAGTTACAAAAATATTTAGTAAAAGATAATTTAAATTTAATATTTAAGTGATGGAACCAAATATTTTAAAGATTTTAGAGATGAAATTGAAAAATGAGTACATGAATTAGTAATCAAAATCATGTATTTAATCTAAAATGACTAGTATTTGAATAAATTCTTCTTAGATCTATAAAAGAAAGAATTTATGTATATATTGATCATTAGCCAATGAACCTTTGAAATTTCTGCAAATATTTTCAAGCCGACATAAAATTGGTAGAGGTGGTGGGGTGCAGTATCTCCTAGCAGTAACACCATGTTTATTTTATCACGTAATATATATTTTTCCATAATTATATCAGACATCAATATTAACAATACGATGGCTGCAGCATGAATATCAACAATAAAATAYATCAATTACTCGCGAAGATAGAGGTTCAAATCTTAACTCTCATATTTATTKTACTGAAAATAATAATATATTTTAAATCAAAAGAAAATAAAAGAAGAAAGAAAAAACGATATTAATAATGTAGTTCATTTGTGCTAGGAAGAGACTAAGAGTCATTCAAATCAAAAATTATTGAATGAAATTTTTAAATTAATACCATCATTCATCTATTTTTCACTGGTGTTAGTGTTGATTTTTGTATTTTGCAAAATATTTATTTTGCAAAATATTTATTTTGATTTATATATTTTTAATTGTTGTCGACTTAACGTATATTTGATCCTTTTATATTTAAAAAGTGACTACTTTGTTTGAAAAATCCGTACACATTCTATATTCGTATAAACAATAAAAATCTTTAATATAAAGTTATGACAATATGTTAAGATTTTTTTTAGTGCAGTGCTACGAGACCAAAAAAAAATAAGAGAAAAAAAAAAGAGATTGAAGCGTAAGTACGTGAATCAAATTAATACTAAAAAAAAGTTTCAAAAATTTAAGGTCAAAAAAAGTATTAACTTCTATTATGGAGAGATAAAGTCAGACACGAGGAAGCTAAATGAGAGATCCAAAACGGGCCCAGATGAGAGAGGCCCAAATCCAAAAGCCCAACCKGAGTGCAGAGACCTGATCCACGGAGGGTAGACCACTCGAATGATCGACGCCGACCAGTTCCTGACTGCCGGCCAAGTTCTGTGGCGATGRCCGTATGACGTTCTTCAGAAATGGGCCCCAACCTACCATGGCTTGATAAACTCCACGGGGCCAATGACCCTTCAATGTGATACTCGACCCACGACAAGCTATTAAAGTCCAAAGGACTAGAGTTTCCCAGGAGTACAAGGATTCAACTAGAAATAGAGGTTGTATGCTAAAATAATCCTAATCTTTATTATCATCAACTTCCGAAAGTATCGGAGTCTGTGTGGTAACGCGCATGGATATCTGTTTTGCAGGTTGACGTTGAATCCACTTTTATTCTTGAAGATTAGTGTGAATTTGGTAAATAATCTCAAAGGCCAAATTTCTACCTCAACAACTTTCAAATATGTATATAGCGAAATGGATATTTGATGTATAATTTTTATTAATCTATTAATCATTTTTATTAAAGATACTTCTAATTCTATTTTTCAGTAAATAATGTGTGTTAGAATGATAAAATTTGGCCAATTGATTAAATGTCATGTCATTATTTTTAAACTATATTTAGGGTCAATCATAAAATTACACGTATCCTAAATTAATTTTAAAATTGACAAATCAAATTACAATACGTGTCTCTCTTATGGCATGAAATGAATTAATTGGATCAAACTCATAAAGAGATTGGGTCCAAGCTCATGGCCCACATAAGACTCTACAAATAGAGGGAGTCACCTCTCATTTGAGACATTCGGAGAGATCCAAAAGCATTGGAGACTTATGAGAGGATGAAGAAAAATTAAGAGGGAAGTAGACAACCGATTGAAGAACTTCACAAGCTACAAGTCGAAGACTTCATAAGCCGAAGACCTGCTGCAAATTTCATCAAGCAAGTCGAAAACTTCATCAAGCCACAAACTTCTCTAAGCATCAAGCTTCACAGTCGAAGACTTTAAAAA